TCCCTCTCCCACCTCCTTTTCCCAGTCTCCCCAAGTTTTGTTCAATAAAGAGAGTTTCTATTTTTGAACACACGTGTCCTTTGTTTTGTACATCAGGAAGGGGGGCTAGGGAGGGGTAAGTGGAAGGAGGTGAAGGAGGAATGGGGTACGAGCCCCCGATGGGGAGGACTGGGGTGGCTCTGCGGGCTCCTTGGGGTGGAAGCTCTCCTGCAGCCCCCCGATTGACACCCCCCCCGGGTGGCAGCCTGCGGCAAGTGCAGTCGGGCTGATGGCCGAGTGCTGTGATGTGCCGAGTGTGGGCATTCAGGGCACTCCAAGCCAGGACTGCTTTGCTGTACCTCATCGAGTTAGACAAGCGAGCGGGGAACCCCTGAGAACTGTCTGTCCGGGGTGGGGGTCAGGTCCCTTTAAGCACAGCCTTCGGCTAGCCTGAGAGGGCAGCTCCACGCTCTAAGTCCTAACCTGATGCCCTGCTGGCACTGCTTCCGTCCATCCTTAACCTCGGTTAAGGGTCCACACAATGTGGACATGCCAGTTCGAATTAGCAAAATGCTAATTCGAACTAGTTTTTAGGTCTAGATGCACTAGTTCGAATTAGCTTAGTTCGAATTAACTAATTCAAAATTAAGTTAGTTCGAATTAGTGCTGTAGTGTAGACATACCCATCCCTATTTTACTTTAGCATAGCTCAGCTTTTTCAAAGGAATCCTATCCTATACTTGTTTTCTCAAAAAAACCCCAGAAGTGCTAGTAGTTCAATGGGGCTTACTCCAAAATTAAGTGCACTCTAAGCACAGTCAGTCGTAGCTTTTTTGGTAACTTGATTGAAATTGTGATTTAAATCAATCCACCCTGGAAGAAAACTTTAATGGCTTCACTAATGTAGCTAGTTACAAGAAGGAAACAAAGGAATGGCCTCTAATTTTTAAAAGGATAACTTTAATGTAAGGCACGCAGCTCTACATATCAATTTTCATACCAATTACAAACTTACAATTAATTGGCCTATATGCAGCAACCTAAGTTTTTTTACGGATAATAGCTTGATTTGCATATGATTTGTGTGTTTGAATATTCATTATTTGCATAATAAATACGCAAATAAGGTGTTACCAGTCCACTAAAGTTTGTGAATGGATCTGCCAGTCCCCAGTATAAAAAAGGTTGGGAACCACTGGTCTGCAAAAATTCCTGATTTCCAAGATGGGTAAGGACTGAAGCTAGTCCTGGTGAGTTGGACCAGTATCAGCCAAATAAATGGGCACCAGAATGTGTGTGGATGAGTATCCTGTCACTCAGGGGAGAAGGATGGTAACCGCATGTAGAATCAACCAAAACAAAAGGCAACTGAAAATGTGGCCTGTATATAGTTGCAGTAAGGCAGTTAGCTCAGTGTAAACTAAAGTCTAAACTTAACCAATGACAAAAGTATATTGCTCAGTGAAGTTTGCAGAAAACTTAGAGGGAACTTGGGATAGTAGAGGATATAAATCAAATAAGCTCTTTTTACCTGCTGATTAAGAAATCCTGACATCACATCCTTGACCATGCAGGAGGGCTGAGCAACTAAGCGACAACACATGCTTCCATATAAGGGAAGCCAGAATGAGGATTCCTCTAAAAGAAAAAGTTAGAAAAGTTATAACTATTGCCCATAAATTCACAGATTAGATATCTGCATGCATTTTAACTTTAATAGGTCCTTAAGAAGTAAATCTCTTCACTTAAGAAAAGACTGAAAATAGGAGTTTGTCCTATTTCTTAACTTTTCTTTCTTTTGTATGGCTGACAGGTCTACAAAAAGCAGTAGATTGGAGGCACCGTTCTTGACAGTAGCCATGCTGGTTTGTTCTTACGTTTGTAAGCATTTTATGGGTATCTTTAAATTTTTCAAACAATTTAGCCAATGTTTAAGTTAGGCTCACTGCTATAATTCTCAGAATCAGCACTAGCACCTTCTCTGAAGATAAATATACTTGCTAGACTCAACTCATTCAATATAGTATAGTGCTGCCTCCTAAAAGCCAGTTCCCCCCGCCGCGTGCTCCCCTCCCCCCCCCCCCCCCGCACTGCTGCCTCTATCAGAAGCAGCAGCTTGGGGCGGGCAGGGAGGTTACTGTGAAGCAGTCTCTGTCCATGGGGGTTCAAGCTCCCCATGGACAGTGGCCGTTCTTCATCCCACAGAGCAGACTCTGTCTGTGGCAAGCCTGGGCCCACCATGGACAGAGGCTGCTTTGCAACAGCAGCCCCTGTCCTCAGAGGGTCCAACCTCCAATTTCCTGCTGGCTTTTAATTCATTTAAAAGGCAGAGCTGCAGTGGGGGGGGTCGGGAGGGGGAGAGAGCCCTGCCATGAGCTCAGAATCAGCTGTCCCGGCTCACGCCGAGTCCCCCCTGCTGCGCTTCTGCTTTTTAAATGTATTAAGAGCAGAGGTGCAGAGTCTGGGACTGGGCACAAGCTGCTACCCCCCCTGCCCATCGTGGAGCCAGATCCCCCCAGCACCAGCTCCTGCTCCTTCCCTTGATGCTTCTAACAGAGGCAGCAAGGTGGGGAAAAGCGACTAGTGGAGGGACTAGTCAACTATCCAATAAGCTTATGCTTATCAAATAGCCGAATAGTCGCTTACATCAACACTGTGATGCTAAGTAATGGTCAACAGAAAAGGGGTTCTAAGGAAAGATGTCTAAAATGTTACTCTTTATTGGGATGCAATTGCAGGATGAAAGTATGGAAAGACTCTCAGAGGCCACTATACTTCTGCAGGGAAATATTTTGAGTTATTAACTGTGATAAAACTATAAATACAAGATATCATCTTTTCTTTTCAATAAAAAACTAAAAGAAACAAGCTTTCTTTGGGAGAAAGCTATAAACTTGTAACAGATAAAGATACTATGAGCTAAAACAAAAAGAGTCCTAGGTTTTATGCACCTAGTCTGGAACATAAACTATTTTCTTTCTGCTTATTATGCTATTTGCTGTCATGCTTTCAGCAGCCCCCAGGTAGCCCTCTAGATCTGTAGCTTCTAGTAGTTACTTGTGCTGTCTCAAAACTGGGATCTACCTAGGAACAAGAAGTGTTGCCGAAAAGAATTCTTAATTAGAACCTCCAGTACAATAAAGCACTTATTCATGTACTTAAATGCCATGTTGGGCCTAAAAAACCTAATAGAGTTTGAGCCACAGCTCTGTTGATCTCCTCTCCTTCTGTCTACGGAGGAGAAAAACAATTATTTTTTCTGTGACATTGTTCCTTTCTTGTCAGGGAAGGAATTTCTATACAGATATTCTCCTCAAGATTGGAATGAGAACAGCAGAGGAAACTCAGCAGCACTTGGAGACCTTTGTGAGGGGAAAGGGAGGCATAGTACGTTCACAGCTTCTGGATACTTTATTCCCAGCCACTGCAAGACTATATAGTGTGGAAGATAGTATTGTGACCAGAAAAAAAAATGGTTATCTACCTTTCATAGCCATTGTTCAAAATGTGTTTCTGATGTCCATTCCCATAGGAGTATGTGTGTACTGCATGCATGATGGTCTGAATTTTTTTTCTTAGCAGTACCCGTTGGGTTGGATGTGAAAGTCTCCTGACATGGTGCTTTCAAGGAGCAGTATGTAAAGATGGTGTCAGCCTTCTCAGTTCCTTCTTGCCCTATTATTCTGACAGAGGGGAGGTGGGAGGAATTTGAATCGGATATGAGCAACACATTTAGAAGAACAGTTACGAAAGGTAGGTAAACATTTTTTCTTCAAGTGATTGCTCATGTGCAGGGCTTGACAAATGGTGGCAAAAACCGCTTGCCAGCCCTGTACTGCGCATGAGCAAGAACCACAATACGCATGCGTACGTCGTGAATGAACGGGGCCCGCGGCTGAAATCTACTCGCTACGGGCGATTGTACTGCATTGCTTGCATTGATTGTATTGTAGATTGTATTGTTTGTCGAGCCCTGCTCATGTGCATTCCAATAGATGACTCATCAGTTCCCTCCAGAGCAGCGGTCAGAGATTACCTGGCTGCCGATTGCAGGACCGGCCTGCTGAAAGTCGCATCATTCCAGGTATATCACAGTGCTTCCTTGCGCAGCACTGAGAGGTCCCGCACCAAGACCAGTGTGCTCCACACTCCTGGAGCTGATGTTCATTCTAGTGTAGGTTGAGGACAGACAGCTGCCTCCATGAGTAGGAGTGTCAGACAATAGGCTCCCTTCTTTTTAGTGTGAGGCCTAAAGTTCCTGCATCTAAGGCACTTATCTATTTAACGGTCCTCATTGAGGCCCTTTAAGGCAGGAAGAGTGTGCATCATCCTTGGACACAGGCTTTCCGCAGTCCTCGCACACCTTAAACTCCTGAAACCACAGCATGCCCTAGTTAGGGGGACTGTAAAGTGGAGGAGGAAATACCCTCCCCCACGCTAACTACTCCAACTAGAACTGAAGTACCCTAACACCTAAACTAATGTGCTTGGCAATGTAAAAGGTGGAGAAGCTCCAATGATTGTCACTGGCAGCAAGAAGGAACCGAGAGGGTGAGGGTTGGTAGTGTTTTTTATACTGTGCCTCGAAGGCCGACGGTACCCCAAGGGAAAAATTCTCTGATGACTGTGCACATGAGAAATCACTCGAAGAACAAATGGGGCCGAGTGATAGGAGTTAAGTGGATTTTGGAGTGGAGAGATAGTGATAGTGATGAGGCTCTGGAGACATGGGACAACAATCCGAAGCTAGTGAAACAGAAGGGAAGAAAGAAAACTGAAAGAGCAGAGTGGGTTTAAAAAGGAAGGAATAATCAGATTAGAAGAGAACAGAAAAAAGGGAAACTAAAGATAGGAAAAAGGAAAAATAAACGTTATAAGAAGTTATTTTTTAAAGAGAGTTACATGTTAAAATATTGCAATTAAGTAGACATGAGTAGCATGTATGTATATACCCATGGGGTCCAATACTCTAGCCCAGTGTTTCCCAATTTTATTTGGCCATGGAACCCTTTTAAACTCGGAAGAATTTTGAGGAACCCCTACAGCCAGGAGGAAAATTTGTCAAGGGGAACAAAACTTCAAAAAACCAGGGAGACCTTGTGGCCAAAATGTAGTCACACATGTCCCGAGTGGGCTTTGGAAACGCAGAGTGGCAGCGGGGGAAGGGAGGGGAGGGGTCTGAAAGCTGGCAGGAAACCAGAGAAGGTTTAAGAGAAGGTCTCTTGGGGCGGGAGTGACCACATTCTCGCAGAACCCTTACTTTCACTTCGCGGAACCCCAGGGTCCCACTGCTCTAGCCACTAGTAACTATTTGGCCAGTTGAGCATGGCTAGTTGGCTTGAACTATGTGGCTATTTGGCTGGTTGAGTGTGGCTAGTTTGCTATAGCAATAGCTACTATAGTTGCTACTGCTTCAGAATTGATTGGACACCATGGATATACACTCTGGAGGCTAGGTGCAGAAATAGGGGATGCCCATCTCAGGTGCAGATCATCTTTTCTCTGGATACCATCCCCACTACGAATTACTTCTGAGCTTGAATATACTTCTGAGGCTCATGACTTGTTTTTGAATAAGCATTTCATTCAATATATACCCAGACTGCCTCATAGCCCTAACATGGGAATTATTTACATCTATTTAGGGAAAAACTCTTGCTACAATCTGGAGTGAAACATCTACCTACTATTTAGGACACTAAGGCCTGGTCTCTGAGGGTATGTCTACACTACAGTGCTAATTCAAACTAACTTAGTTCAAATTAGTTAATTCGAACTAAGCTAATTCGAACTAACGCATCCAGACTAAAAAACTAGTTCGAATTAGCATTTTGCTAATTCGAACTAGCATGTCCACACAGAGTGGACACTGAACCGGGGTTAAGGATGGCCGGAAGCAGTGCCGGCAGGGCATAAGATGAGGACTTAGAGCGTGGAGCTGCTGTCTCAGGCTAGCCGAGGGCTGTGCTTAAA